GGAACCTATCGGGCTTACATGAAAAAATTGGCTTGCTGCGCGCCTGGTATGTATATATGTATTTGGATGTAATTTGTTCCGTTTACAATGCCGTACTGTGTTTACAAAGGTCAAGGCCACCGTTTGAGTTTATTCTAACTCTGACAGGACTGTAATAGCAAGTGTAACGACCTTTAGTGCATATCTGAACTAAGTTCGTATATTGTCCTGTAGTATAATACCTAGTACTATACCTTGGAGACTGTGCAAAACAGTCTGAAGCAAACTGCTGCCTCAGAAATGAATGTATGTCTCTTTTGTAACATTTAGTTGTGTATTGTTTTAATGACTCTTCCCCTGCTTTTGGAAATTCGACCAAACGGCAGTCTTTCTATTTTCATGAGTTGGTCACAATTGTCTCACATAAACATGTGAATGTATAAACTTGATGAATTTTCCAAACTGTCTGTCGTAATTATGAGCCTGCATATGTCAGAAAACCAGAGAACCGACTGATCTTTATTCTGAGAAGGTTGTGTAGGTAAGCTTGGCATTTTTTCAGGAACAGTCTAAACATAATTTATATTCCTTGATTTAAATCAAATGGTTGAAAACCTTAGTAAAATAAGCAACATCCTACATCATTTGGTTTTTTGGGCCTACAATTTCGTCATCAAACTCATTTGTGTTTCAAGTTGTTTTCCTGCTAATTTTATGTTTTGCAATTTAATCCCAGGCCCCCCCAATCACATCCCAGCACGCACGCACGCCACACACACACACACACACACACACACACACACACACCTTCCCGGCCCCGAATATCAAATGGTCAGCGCCTAATTCGACTTACACATGTTATACTCTGTATATCCTTCACTTGACTGACTGTTGCAGGGGAGACAAACCAGCGAGTTCCAGCAAGCCATGATGATACACAACGCTGCCTCTCTTGGAAGTGAGTTCTGTCGGAATTTGACTGACGTAAACCACGTATCTCACTACCTCAATGTTAACGTGGCTGGATTTGTTGCTCTGAATGCCCAGTTTATGCAGGAGTTTAAAGATGTCCCGTCCAAGGTGGTTATCAACATAACGTCCGATTATGCAGTGCAACCTTTGGCCAGCTGGGGACTGTATTGCTCAGGTAAGTAGAGGAGAGAACCTCAGTGGTCCAGTGGACAAAGTGTGTGCATGGTCTGAGGTTCGAGTTTCTTTGATTGCTTCATGAGACGTGGCCTTGGGCTCAACTGCACAAAGCGACCCTAGCGCTAAGACTATCATGAGTCTCTGGTGTATGGGAAGTGCAAACTTCGTGGAAGTCGAGTTACAATAACTTTATGCAAGCTGATCCTGTAGTATCCCAACACGAGCTGAATTCGACGTTCTGGTGATTTCGACGATTGCATTGCACGCGCTATATCGGGGGAGTACGTGTGCGATCGGAGTGCACAAACAGTTTCACTGGTAGGGCGGGTGCCCAGTCGCTGTCGTGAGAAGTTTTATTGACAATGGAAATCGGGAAGTAAAGTTATATAAAAAGCAAACAAACATCAATATTATTTACCCGAGATCGTTAATACCACTTCAGATGCAAAATCAGTTGTCTATATAACAAAAAATAGAAAGCGAAAATTCAGTTAGATCAGTCGTCTGCTGGTGACAAGCAATATATAAATAGGAAGCCACGTGATCACAACACTACCTCGCAGTGCGGAGCAAAAAGTATGGCTCATCGTCGAAAACCCATACAAAATACCCGCATGTTACGAGCGGCAACAGTTTTGCCGATACGATGCCATCAACACTATATTTGTAGGGAACACTTGATATTTTTATGTGAAATAGATGAATATATCCTTTATCACTCAACGTTAGTAAAATAAAAAAACTTTAAATGGTATTACAGATCGTCGAAAACCCCTGACACCGGGATATAATAAGGGGCGGTGGGGTAGCCTACTGGTACAGCGTCCGTTTGTCACGCCGAAGACCCGGGTTCGATTCATCACATGCGTACAATGTGTGAAGCCCATTTTTGGTGTCCCCCGCCGTGAAATTACTGGAATATTGCTAAAACCGGCGTAAAACTAAACTCACTCATTCACTGTAGTATAACACAACCAGAAGCGCCATGAACTGGAAGAGTATGAACCGTGTTTCAGGCAAGGCTTTCCGGGAAATGTTCATGAAGACCCTGGCACTGGAGCAACCCGACTTCCGGGTGTTGAGCTATAGCCCAGGAAGTGTTGACACCGACATGTTCTACAAAGAGGGGATCCAGGAAACGAAAGATGTAAACGTTGTTAAATCCTTAAGAGGTATGTACTACACGGGGTCAATATTTGTGACAAATGATTTTAATTGACTGTTTATTGATTAACTAACAAGGTCATGCTGAAGTTCGGGTTCAATTCCTCACATCCGTACTATGTGTGAAGCCCATTACTGGTGCCTTGATACGTTTATTGCTGGAATACTGGTACAGGCGGCTTAATCTTATACTTACACACATACTCACTCACAGAGGTGTACGATTTCCGAAGACAAGGCCCCGGGAATCGTGACGAGCGAACGCCTTAACCACAAGAGCACAATGTGTGAAGCCCAATTCTGGTGTCCCCCGCCGTGATATTGCTGGAATATTGCTTAAAGTCGCGTAAATCTTGCTGGGTAATCGATGTATATACTGCATATTTCATTGACGGAAACGCCAAGATCTTCAAACAGACGTTTAAACCCGTCTTCTAGATCTTGTACTTTGTCAGGTATCCCGTACACCAAGAGATTCATGTATCTGGAGTAGAGCTCTTGGAGTAGTTTACGTTTCAACATGGCGATCTCTTCACATAGCCTCGTTTCCGTCTCCCTCACGGTTGCAGTGTTTGTCTTGATGTTTGCTGCCATAATCTCCACACTGGTAGAAATATCTTCCTGATTAGATTGTAGTAAGGAGACGTTGTGTATAATGATTGATTTCAGCAGAAATAGTTTCGGTGGGGCTCTGTAGCGCTTGCTTGATGAAAAAATTAAGGTCCTCCATGGCCGCCATGTTCTCTCCTTTATGCTGGAGCGACTTTTCTTCTGTGGTAGATTTTGACTTATTCGTCAGGTACTTGTCGAGAATTTTCGGCCCATTCTCCTTTTAGTCTGCCTGTTTTTCTTGTGGTGGTCATTTGTTTGTGAGATGGGAACGATTATATGGCTCTGTATACGTATTCACGTTTTCCTGACGTCATAGACGGTAAACAGGAACGGACAACTCGGATATTTACATGACTGAAACATTGCAGCTGTAATGTTTTATTATCTTCTAATCCAAACCAAACTTTAAGCTGGCTTAAACAATCTGGACAGTGAATTATATGTTATTTTCTTTCGAGCTACCTACCAAGTTTTCATTATCCATTTCTGTAAGAACCGAGAAGGCGAATTCTGCTGCAGGAATCAGCAGCCTAATGAGTATACAAAATGTTGTTGAAGACAACTGTCCCTTTGTTCTTCGTTGTCATATGTTCCAAGAACTAGGCTAAGATGTAAATATATTCCATGAAAATATCATCTTTTTAATGTCACCTGATGAAGTATACATTATATAAGATTTAACTGTTTATAATATGCTACGCCATCTGTATGTTAATTGATGTATTGTAAATATTATCTTGGTGTGTAACATTGTAATGTAGAATAAGTCTGTGGTCTACACAACGAAAGGAAAAAAACACTGCGATTCGATGAGAATCAGCACAATGTTTTTCACATGCTGGAAGTATCAGGAATCTTATAATACCTTTCTTGCAGTGAAGATAGTAACTGTGCCTTTGTGTCCGTGATCCTTCATCATCATTTTCGTGTAAATTTTAAAATGTTATTAAGATTACTTGATTGAAAGAACTTTTTATATGTTTTTTGTCCTTCAGACGTGGAGAAGCATATCCTTACTCCAGACACTACAGTAATGAGACTCATCGCCGCACTGGACAAAAACGTCTTTGAAAGTGGAGCTTGTATTCATTACTATGATGATTAGTACCATCGGGCTAGCCACACGGAAACATATTGTGTTTCCGATTACATTGATTATTTAAATTAGGACAGACAAGAAGAGAGCTATATATTTAGATGCAGTTGGTAAAAAAAGAAACTGGTCTTTTAATAGCATTTTTAAACCTTCCTTTCTTCCATGAATATATAATATTTATTTCCTCCATTCTGAAGAGCACACGGTTCACATAGTATATATACAATACAATAATTACATATTATTCTTCAAGCAATGGTCGTTGGGCATATGCGCAGTCCGTACCAGATCTGAACGTTCGTGGAACAGTGCTTCATGTCTATGTGACACCAACAGATCTCTGGTAGTATCTGTTGGCCATGCGAAACACATACTGCACACAAACTGTCATCTGTGCACAGGTTAAAACTAGTCACACAGGATAACATGCGCAGTGTGAAATCCCGGTCTACTCCCATTTGTGAGAACTCCCATTTGTGAGACAGTGGAGTAGGTAATTAGCAAAGAAAACACACCTTACTCCCCTATCTGATAGAATGGATTAACCCCAGCTAATTATGAATTAGCTATTTAACTGAATCTTGTGGAGGTAACTTAATGAAACTCTAAAAGATAAAGTAACTAACCTACTCAGATAAATGGCTTTAAAAAATAAACACTTTGTGTAGGTAACTTCGTGATCATATGAAAGAGAAATTAATTTACCTTACGTGTTTGAAAAATCTAGCAATAACTGTTGTCACTATAATTAATCCAAATGTATTTATTAACCTTTGACTGCTCTTTCCGATCACCATTATGGCAGGCCTTCAACAAGTAGAATATATCACCAGTTCAGGATAATCTCTTTCAGTATTTCAGTATCTATTGAAAACAATAAATGCTCTTCAACGAACAATGTCTTCTGTGTTAATTAACTCATTAATGAACTATGCCTCCTGCGGGTGCACTGAACCATTAATTAATGTGTCTCACAACTGGGAGGACACCGAAATCCCAATCATTAAGGTTGTGGAGATGCACACTGAATTCCACACTACCAATAGCTATGATCTCACACCACAGTTCATCGCGGAGGTCAGTCAAGTGATCACAGTACTGGATAATATGGGTAAGAATATCTGTGTAAAACAGACCACACCTATGGCACAAGTCACTACCACCCTGGTTCTCCTTAATCACAGCACAGGTTGGCACCACAAAATTGGCTGCTGCTCTGCAGGCCGGCTTCTTCTGCGCAATCACCCAGGCTTGGTGCACACACAGGTTCGGGTGAATCTGGTGGAACTCATGTAGTCCTGAATCCACTTATCTCTGTCTGTATGACGTCACTTCGAAGTTCATTACATATCTTTTCACAATTTTCTTCCACGCAGTCTGCTTTATGAACTGTCCTGTTTTTTACATAAGACTCTAGCTGCTGATGCAAACCGTATTTATGAAGAATTCTCACGATGTCGGGAATAAACCCGTTGACTTCTCAAGCTCATGTCTGAAGCACAGAAGTCTGGTAAGAAACACCTGGTGAGGCAAATAGTGTCTCTTCATATTGATGAGTCTGCCTATATATAACAGCTTTCGAGTATCACAGTCTCAACAGGACAAAGCCCTAGGAGACCAAGACAGATATCTGTCCTGGTTCTTGTTGGCAGATTTTGTATTTTCTTTACTGCATAACGGTATGCTCGTTCGAGCATGGTTATCTCATGTTTGGTGAGACCAGTCCAAAGCTCACATCCATAGAGTGCCTTTGGTAGCACAGATGCTGCAAGTAACTTGCTGGCTGTCATCGGGTTCATTAACTTTGAGTGGAATCCTTTCCGCAACAACACATGTGTGTTTGCTCTCAGTGTGTTACAAGCCTGCAGCACATGCTCGATGGATGACATTCTCTGTGTGAGTACTATGCCTACATGTCTGATGATATCAGTCTGGACACAGGTTCACTGTATAGTGTGATTTCCGGACGGTTGCCCATCCTGTTCGCACTATAGGGAAACGTCATGATCTCACTCTTGCTGGGAGACAGAGTGAAACGCCAGTCATTACTGTAATCCTCACACGTCTGCACACGGCTGTTCAGAGCATGCACATTTGAACTAACAACCGCATTGTCATCTGCTTGAGTAGGTGAGCACATATTCAGATCTAACAACATTGCACCTTTCTTGGTATCAGAGAGTTTCTTCAACAGTCCATCAAGATATAACAAATACAGCTTAGCTGAAAGGACTCCGCCTTGGCGAACTCCTTGTAGAAGCTCAAACACTCTAGATTTATGTTGCCCAAGTTGTACATATGATGTCATACTTGTGTACATCCTGTCAATAATAGTCCACAGCTGTCCGTGAACCCCTGCTTCATACAGTTTGTATCTGAGACCGTTATGCCAGACAGTATCGAATGCCTTCATTGTATCCAAGAAAGCAACGTGTATATCTTGTTTCCTTTCATGGTATTGATATATAGTCTCTTGCAGATTAAATGACGCTTCTAGAGCTGACAAGCCTGTTTGATACGCCATCTGCTGTTTACTGGGAAAAGTTGCCGTAGACTTCAGCGGTTGTAAGTGTTGTATCAGTTCCATTTCAAATACCTTTCCAATGACAGGCCTGAGCGATATACCCCTGTAGGAGTTCGGATCTTTTCTCGATTTGTTACCCCCTTTGAATATAGGGACCATGACGGATACACACCAGTCTCTCGGAAGACTTCCTGTGTTCACAATAGCACCAAACAGACATGACAGATGAAACATCAAACATTTCCCACCGTGACGTAAGTGTTCATAAACCAAACCATCATGTCCTCCAGCCTTCTGGTTGGGGAGTTGCGAACACAGTGCTTCTATGTCTACTGCACTAAATGAAATACATTCACCACTCTCTGTTAAACAACTCTTCCTGATGGTGTCTACTGTATGGTTGACATGCTTTTGAAATGCCCTACTGAAATGTTCCTTCTCAGTATCTTGATACACAGCACTGAAGTGAGCCGCCCAAGCTTCTATCACAGCATCGGGAGTGCTGTGAGTAACACCACTATACGTTATAGGCGCCAGGGACGCTTCATGTCCCTTCTGTGCTGTGAGTAACACCACTATATGTTATAGGCGCCAGGGACGCTTCATGTCCCTTCTGTGCTGTGAGTAACACCATTATACGTTATAGGCGCCAAGGACGCTTCATGTCCCTTCTGTGCTGTGAGTAACACCATTATATATGTTATAGGCGCCAAGGACGCTTCATGTCCCTTCTGTGCTGTGAGTAACACCATTATACGTTATAGGCGCCAAGGACGCTTCATGTCCCTTCTGTGCTGTGAGTAACACCATTATATGTTATAGGCGCCAAGGACGCTTCATGTCCCTTCTGTGCTGTGAGTAACACCATTATACGTTATAGGCGCCAAGGACGCTTCATGTCCCTTCTGTGCTGTGAGTAGTAACACCATTATATGTTATAGGCGCCAAGGACGCTTCATGTCCCTTCTGTGCTGTGAGTAACACCATTATACGTTATAGGCGCCAAGGACGCTTCATGTCCCTTCTGTGCTGTGAGTAACACCATTATACGTTATAGACGCCAAGGACGCTTCATGTCCCTTCTGTGCTGTGAGTAACACCATTATATGTTATAGACGCCAAGGACGCTTCATGTCCCTTCTGTGCTGTGAGTAACACCATTATATGTTATAGGCGCCAAGGACGCTTCATGTCCCTTCTGTGCTGGGAGTAACACCATTATACGTTATAGGCGCCAAGGACGCTTCATGTCCCTTCTGTGCTGTGAGTAACACCATTATACGTTATAGGCGCCAAGGACGCTTCATGTCCCTTCTGTGCTGTGAGTAACACCATTATATGTTATAGGCGCCAAGGACGCTTCATGTCCCTTCTGTGCTGTGAGTAACACCACTATGTGTTATAGACGCCAAGGACGCTTCATGTCCCTTCTGTGCTGTGAGTAACACCATTATACGTTATAGACGCCAAGGACGCTTCATGTCCCTTCTGTGCTGTGAGTAACACCATTATATGTTATAGACGCCAAGGACGCTTCATGTCCCTTCTGTGCTGTGAGTAACACCATTATACGTTATAGACGCCAAGGACGCTTCATGTCCCTTCTGTCCTGTGAGTAACACCATTATATGTTATAGGCGCCAAGGACGCTTCATGTCCCTTCTGTGCTGTGAGTAACACCATTATATGTTATAGGCGCCAAGGACGCTTCATGTCCCTTCTGTGCTGTGAGTAACACCATTATATGTTATAGGCGCCAAGGACGCTTCATGTCCCTTCTGTGCTGTGAGTAACACCACTATATGTTATAGGCGCCAAGGACGCTTCATGTCCCTTCTGTGCTGTGAGTAACACCACTATATGTTATAGGCGCCAAGGACGCTTCATGTCCCTTCTGTGCTGTGAGTAACACCACTATATGTTATAGACGCCAAGGACGCTTCATGTCCCTTCTGTGCTGTGAGTAACACCATTATATGTTATAGGCGCCAAGGACGCTTCATGTCCCTTCTGCATCCTGTTTACCATTTAGTTGATCGTATTTTAAAATGATTGGGATACAAAGTCGTAACTGTAGTAATAGCAAATAAGTCTCTAACTGTATATTATGGTAAAATAGTTTGCATTATACTGTTTGGAACATTAAACTTGTCCATATTATGCTAAACTGATTTAAAACGTTATTGAAACACTTTATAATGTTTTTGTTTGATCTTTTAGTGTTTGTGTAGCATAACTTACGTAATATATGTTGTAGGGTTCTTTATGGAGGTTTCTCGTACTACAGTATCCTGGTGCTTGTAGTATCGAGTGAGTTAAAGGACAGATTAATGGTTGATAGGCTCTGTACATGGCCATACTGTCAACGCCGTAGATGACATGTACCCACTGTCAACGCAGTAGGTGGCATGTCCGCACTGTCAACGCCGTGGATGGCATATTCCCACTGTCAACGCCGTAGATGGCAAGTCCCCATTCTCAACGCCGTAGATGGCATGTCCCCACTGTCAACGCCGTAGATGGCAAGTCCCCACTGTCAACGCCGTAGATGGCAAGTCCCCACTGTCAACGCCGTAGATGGCAAGTCCCCACTGTCAACGCCGTAGATGGCATGTCCCCACTGTCAACGCCGTAGATAGCATCTCCGCACTGTCAACGCTGTAGTTAACACTTTTGTTCGCGTTATACGTGCAACACCCGCTATAGGGTGTACTGTTCGCTGTACCCTGAATAGTAAAGTGTACTTGTAGCACATCAAAGGTTGAAGCTTGAAATCACAGGTATTGTAAAGGATTTAAGATAGCTCAAAATTAGTGTTAAAAACAAACCAGTAAAACCGCAGCCCATCGATGTATGCGTACTTTGTTTGGTGTCCGCCATGCTGGTGGGCATGCGAAAATTGTGCATTACGGAGCAGTCTTAGTAAACTTAGTCTCCGTATTGTTCGTTACACTCCTACACTGAGTCTAACAAACCCTAATAGAAGGTCGCGTCAGGTAACCTTTGAGCGACCTATGACTTAAGAAATACAGTTCGCTCTACCACCATGTCTAGTGTAATAAAACACACTTTCTCCCTGAACTATTATCGTTAAAGTACGAGGACGCTTACGTCCGAGTGCTTTAACGTTATAATAGTTCAGGGCGAAAGTGTGTCTTATGACACTATACATGGTGGCAGAGCGAACTGTATTTCTTTTCTAAGATGCCAAATTTAATACTTTCTAAGGATAATTACGATTAATTTAAGGCAGAAAACAAACGACGGCGTCGGTGACCTAAATTAAGAATCCTCGCACAGGGCTAACTGGCGCGCTGTTCTATTGATGTGTCTGCCCCCCTACGTTAAGACGCACGTTACCAGAAAAAAACAAATGATAACAGTTTGATGACGGTTTACGTTTGGATTAAATATCTTCTCTGAATTATTTTAATTTCATCTGTCATTAACGTAAACCATATGGGGCAAGTTGAACGTCGCATTTCTACTACCAACGTAAGTTTAGATCAGTAAATCCAGATGAAGCTGAGTAGTCAAGCGACATTCCACGATTGCATTGTGGGAATGTAAACATTGCGAACGTTACCGTGTCGCTGAAAACTTATGAGTCGAATTGACACATTTAAACCGTCGTAAAACATAAACGTAATGTTTCCTCCAGTGATGTTAGCTGCGTGAAGCAACTGCAAACGAAGTAAGGGGATGCAACGGAGTAGTTTACTGTAAGAGGCCGTACTAGGCGATGACAACTGACATGCATCGTGACGTCGCTTACATTGTGACGTAATGTAAAATGGTTCGATTACGAGGGGGCACACTAGAATGGCGCAGTGACGGGAAAACGTCATTCAATTGTTACGTCATCAAAAAACTATACCTTTATTGTCTGATAATGTATTTTTTTTCGATTGTTCTAACCGCTAGGCATCTTAGAACGCCCAATCAAATGCGAGACGGCCGAAAGGATTTAATCAATCAGACAACGACTACTGTTTAGAGTTCGGCGGGACTTACAAAATTCCCCGGTCACTGACACTGATCTCTCAACAAACGAAAATCCGCATAAAAGACATATATTTGACCTGCAGTATATACGCTTTGGGGTTTCCGTTGACATGGTTACCATTAGCTAATATTTCCGTAAGCTGACATCCTTGAATATTGACGAAACGCTATTTTCAGCGACTGCACCATCCGGAAGCGATCGTATGGAAAATAGCATTCGGAATCGTTCGGGTACAAACCTTTTCGAGGTAAAAGTTCAAAAGGTATGTGTGAATGTCAACTTTCGCGATTTGGTAAGTTGTGTTCTGATTGGTCCATGTCAAAGGTTACCTGACGCGACCTCCTACTAGGGTTTGTTAGACTCCATATAGGAGTGTAACGAATAATACTGAGGCTAGGTTTACTTAGATTGCATTACGGAGACATATACATACAAATCAGAGACCTTTATAACGTGGTTATATACCTATGACTGACTTTAATCAACCAATCACAATCAAGTATTTACTCAAATAATGATAGAATTATTATAAGGCTTATTTTAGCATAGCGGTAATGTTGTTTTTTGACGGTTATTCAACCTCCTTACATTAACAAGTTTACATATGTATGAAGTTGAGTCTGTTTCTGAACTTGTATATAAAGACACACAACATTATCTGACATAAACCAAGCATGATTGTTGTATAAAGCTCTGTGTCATCCTGTCAGTCTATATGGCGTGTAATGCAGAGTCACTGTCATTTTGTAATATTCTTTCCAGAACAGAAGGTGGAAATGACAGCGCCAGTGGCCACCCAGGTTGTGCCGGGGACGGGTCCCAACTGTGAGAACACCTTCACCGTCTCCTTCTACACCCCCCCCGGAACACCAGGCTGACCCCCAAAAACCCACAAACCCAGACGTCTTCATCAGCGACTGGCCGGAGGTCAAGTTGGCAGTCAAGTAAGTATGGTATACTGTAGCATCTCCCCGAGACAAGGGAGGACATATCTGATGGTAAAAATCCATTTTCATCCTTCGAATTTCGTGGTCTAACCACTGCTGAGAGTTATGTCCCTTCCCTGTCCTTCTCATTGACGAATCAGGTTCCATCTTTCATACCACATGTATTCACTTCAAATAACATGGCGGCAAGACGATCTGATCGGTAATCGAGATCTTTATCATAACAGGTCTTATCTTGCGAAGTGCTGCAAATCAGTAGTTAACCTTGATATAAAACCCGAAATGATTTTGAAACATATCTGACGGTACACATGCTCTGTAAATCTGTAAATCCAGCAATCCAAAGAAATCTCCACTTCAGTCGCCATGTTTATGAAACGGATTTCCTTACGCCATTTTGATTGGACTGTGACTCGTTTCTCCAGCCAATATTTACCTCCTGACTATGTCGACAAGGGTGGAATCCACAGGTTTACAGTAAGTTAACTCCCTTGTCTCGAGAAGATTTACAGCAGTGTACCCTCTGTATGTAACAAAATTCTGGATCTCCTCCTGGGAAGCGAACCCGTCAAGATCCAGGTTAACGTTGGTCTGGACTAACGATATGACGTCATGATATGACGTCATGATATCACTGACTGGATTGTCTGGTCCAGATGCAATTGTTTACAGGTAGCCGCCATAAAAGCGTGAATATTGCTGAGTGTTGACAATATACAAACATGCAAAATATGTCTATAAGGCACATGTTTCTCAAAAGAGAGAAGGCAGGACTTTTTATACATGTAGATTTTTTTAATTGAAAGTATATAATGAGTGAGAGGCTGTTTACGTCATTCAAAACTGGACTCCACAGGAGAGATAGCTTTGGTTGGATCAACCGGTTCCAGCTGGGATATAATCAGCCCATTCTGATGTCATCGGTTACCATCACAACACAAGGACATCACTTCGGCCTCTGCCACTGAAGCTGCTTAATCTGCACTGGAAGCTCACTCTTGTGTCTTTTGATATGTCTGTTACATACAGTATTTGACATCGCAAGTGGCTATATTTCAGGTTTAGAGGTTGATGAGAAGTAATTGGCTGTGATAGTTTTGTTTTATATGTGTGTTTTGGACTACCTCTCTAATTCCAGATTTTGTTATATCTTCAGGTCTTTCAGTGGTATTGCTGAGGAGAAAGACTGGATCAACAAAGGGAGAGAACTCGCCGAAGACCTTGACAAAACGGACTTGAAGAACAAATTTGTGAAGGAATATTACTTCACGGCTGGTTACGACAGCCCATTCAAACTCTTCGGACGCCATAACGAGGTGTGGTTCAAGCTGGACGACTGAACATGGACTTGATGAAAGCGAACTCTCCTTATACTGCCATTGAAATTAGCTTTAGTTAGTGTGGTGGGACTGTTTGATAAAACACAACGGTTGTGAAAAAGTGAAACAATAATGTGTGTGAAACGTTTAGTTGTTTGTACGGGTCTCTAAATAGTGGTTGAAATAGCTGCACTGAGAAGTGTTTATTTGTTTGTTCGTGTTTAACACCGCACTCAGCAATGTTCCAGCTTACATGACGGCGGTCTTTAGATAATCGATATTGGACCAGGCAATCCGGTGAGTATCGATCTACGCTATTGAAATACGATGACCAAGCCAGCGAGCCTGACCACCCCATTCTTGCGGCAAACATTGGTTGCTGAAGACCACCACTGACCCGGATCTTCACAGTGTAGCAACACGTGAATACAACGTGACATTTTAGACACTACATGGCTCCGACCGCATGGTCCGTCAGTGTACAGGATGATAGTGGCACGGAGCATTGTGATGATGGAATTGCATGGGGAAGTGTTCCAACCTTCTGTCATAAGTTTTATTCTTCTCTGCACAAAAATACCAGAAGAGTCAAAACATGCTGAACCGATGTACTGAAATCAGTTTTGATGAAATATATTTATTCAGTATGTGATGTGTATTTCTGATTATCTCCTGAAACATTTGCCAGGGTAACTTTACCATGAGGTGTTTTGTTTTCATTATTTTACATTTTTACTGACAATGTTGTATACTTTGTTACATAAATAAGTTTTTTTTACAAAGAACACTAACTCCATTGTTTTTTTACATGTTTCTATTGGGTGTAAATGGTTTCGTTAGAAAGTGAGTGAGTTAGCGAGTGAATATGGTGTTATGCCGCTGTTAGCAACATTCCAGCAATATCACTGCGGGGAAACAGCAGAACTGGGCTTTTCACACATTGTACCTACATGTATGTGTGGAATCGAACTCGTGTCTACGGCGTGACTAGCGAACTCTTTTACCCTTAACCCTACTGCCCCTTCATTATAAAACGCTTAAACGCCTGTCTTCAGAACATGAAGCCTCTTGTTGCAAATAATCATGAAATTCCTATCGGGAGATATTACGCATGACCTGAACACAAATACTCATGTTAAGGGCGATACTTCTATATTGCAAGTCTCATATTGGGGAATGAAAAGAAAATAGGTCCTTGGATGAAATTTACCAATAAACTTTAGAGAGGGATATCTTATTAGCTTTCGATGGAACTCAAAACCTGTTCTTTCAGTACAGTACTTAAAAAACGCCAGGGAACACCTGAATCTTTCGTTTTACTGTAGTTGGTCGGTAATGGCAATTTTGTATCAATGTGTATAAATGCAAATGTATGCACAATGGGGAACATTCCTGGAGTTGCGCCCCCTTGCCCGCTTGGAGCGCTGCGGTAGTTACGGTCCAACAGTAGCTGTCACTCTGATACAGGCCTGCCTATCGGTCGAGCCTAAACTAACTCGACATTAAACCTACTTTTTACTCTGTGATTCTTATATTACGAATTACCGAAGCTGGAAGTTGCAGGGTCATGTCTTGACTGTATAGGACCGCATCGCGGCTCCCGGCTAGGTGTATACTATCGCTGAAGGGGTCGTTGTCGGCACAGGTACTACAGAAATGTACCCCAGGTACGTTTCTGTATACAGAAATGTACCCTAGCCAAAGTAAATGTACAGAAACGTACCCGGTACCCTAAACGGCAGACGAGTCCATATTTTCTCAAGCCAAACCGAAACCGGTTTGTGGTGTTGTTCCAGATCGCCTGATTTCGAGCGCTTTCACCTGCATCGCGCCGAGTATTCACTTTGTATTCTAACGCAATCGAATATGGAGCTCATACGACAGTATTATAGATTTCCGATCAAGAAGATGATGACGATTTCCCATGTTCATTTACGACAGCTGTTGGTGGGAACGATTTGGAAACGGCCCTTTCAGGACACCCAAAACTTAAAAAGTTTCGCCCCGGAGAATAGCGCTGTACGAAGTATGTCACCCCCATTGTAGACAGCTTTCAATTATCTGTAAAACGGACTACAGGGGACGTCATGCTCAAGAAGAATCGATTGTCTGATATTTTATAACTGACAGCGGAAGGAAGGTATATAGTTCTTCCTGACGAACACGCACCGCCATGTTGAATATTTCCGCGGTTTGAGAGGCAGGGATAATTTTAGTACGCGTTCGAGAAACCGGTTTAGCACTCATCGCACGCAGAATGGGATCGTCCTAGGGTACGATTCTGTACATTTACTTTGGCTAGGGTACCTTTCTGTCTGTAGTGTACCTGTGCCGACAACGACCCCTTCAGCTATACTATCCTTTGCCCGGACGTTTACAAGAACGTTATAATTTAGCAAACTTGATTTCCTTCATTTTATACTACAATGTAAATGTTGAGTGTCTTTCCAGCGCATGATTACAATCTTACAAAATAACAGAGGTAGTCTGTGACGTTTGCCAGCGTATAGTCTTCCTTGCAATGGCAGTGCTTCGCCTAAGCATTGCGACCAATGAAACATTTCATACAGTGTTTATGCATGTAATCGTTCAGTCATCGCTTGAACGGGCTTTCACAGAGTAACAGAGACGCGGCCAAGTGTCGAACATTTCATACAGTGTTTATGCATGTATTCGTTCACAGTCATCGCTTGAAAGGGCTCTCACAGAGTGACAGAGAGACGCGGCCAAGTGTAGACACTTGTAAGCGCTGCAGGCTGAATCTAGAGAGAGAAACCTACCTGAAAATGGCCGATCTCCTTGGAAAGCACATGTTTTCTATGAAAAACAGGTATGCATTGTCGCCGGTGCAAGTAGAGGCATAGGAAGAAGTGTCGTTGTCAACTTGGCGTCAAAATTCCCACCCGGATCTCTAGTAGTAGCGCTAGCTAGAGATTTGGAACAGTTGGCCGTAACGAGCGCATTGTTAATGGAAGCAAGTACCGGTGTTGCATGTGTGACCAGCATGTTTGACCAGGGTCGCTTGACCAACATAAGTACGATACACTGCTCAAAGAATGTCTTCAGGTAGGTTGCCATAAAGTTTTTGCATCGCTTATATTGACAACAACATGTATTCATGACAAAGCCGTATCAAATAGGTTTATCATGAGGTCGTCACAATATATCCATTTGAACTGCTCACCTCCACACAGTTAACATGAGGTAACTGTGATCAGATAAGTGATATCCAACGCAAGAGTCGGATATTTATTAAGAAGTGAAGAAGGTGTTTAAGAAGGTTTTCAAATGATGCAATATTTTGAATGACCTGCCCATAAAGACAAAGTGCAAACGTATTTTGTGTACTAGTTTGCATGTTGACTGCAGCAACACACCACACGTAGACTGAATTACATATTACATACTAATGACATATTTAAAAGCGGCACGTGGTCCTTGCTCATATATATCTATGTTCATGAAACAAATACCAAAATCATTATCATTTGAAAATACATACACCCGTTTGAAACTTTCTCAGAAAGGCCATAGGTGCATTAAACTTAATGAAACTGTGCATTTCTGATTATCTCCCGAAACATTTGCCAGGGTAACTTTACCATGAGGTGTTTTGTTTTCATTATTTTACATTTTTACTGACAATGTTGTATACTTTGTTACATAAATAAGTTTTTTTTACAAAGAACACTAACTCCATTGTTTTTTTACATGTTTCTATTGGGTGTAAATGGTTTCGTTAGAAAGTGAGTGAGTTAGCGAGTGAATATGGTGTTATGCCGCTGTTAGCAACATTCCAGCAATATCACTGCGGGGAAACAGCAGAACTGGGCTTTTCACACATTGTACCTACATGTATGTGTGGAATCGAACTCGTGTCTACGGCGTGACTAGCGAACTCTTTTACCCTTAACCCTACTGCCCCTTCATTATAAAACGCTTAAACGCCTGTCTTCAGAACATGAAGCCTCTTGTTGCAAATAATCATGAAATTCCTATCGGGAGATATTACGCATGACCTGAACACAAATACTCATGTTAAGGGCGATACTTCTATATTGTAAAGTCTCATATTGGGGAATGAAAGGAAAATAGGTCCTTGGATGAAATTTACCAATAAACTTTAGAGAGGGATATCTTATTAGCTTTCGATGGAACTCAAAACCTGTTCTTTTCAGTGACAGTACTTAAAAACGCCAGGGAACCTGCCTGAATCTTTCTGTTTTACTGTAGTTGGTCGGTAATGGCAATTTTGTATCAATGTGTATAAATGCAAATGTATGCACAATGGGGAACATTCCTGGAGTTGCGCCCCTTGCCCGCTTTCTTTGGAGCGCTGCGTGGTAGTTACAGTCCAACAGTAGCTGTCACTCTGATACAGGCCTCGCCTATCGGTCGAGCCTAAACTAACTCGACATTAAACCTACTTTTTACTCTGTGATTCTTATATTACGAATTACCGAAGCTGGAAGTTGCAGGGTCATGTCTTGACTGTATAGGACCGCATCGCGGCTCCCGGCTAGGTGTATACTATCGCTGAAGGGGTCGTTGTCGGCACAGGTACTACAGAAATGTACCCCAGGTACGTTTCTGTATACAGAAATGTACCCTAGCCAAAGTAAATGTACAGAAACGTACCCGGTACCCTAAACGGCAGACGAGTCCACTTTTCTCAAGCCAAAACCGAAACCGGTTTGTGGTGTTGTTCCAGATCGCCTGATTTCGAGCGCTTTCACTGCATCGCCGAGTATTCACTTTGTATTCTAACGCAATCGAATATGGAGCTCATACGACAGTATTAGATTTCCGATCAAGAAGATGATGACGATTTCCCATGTTCATTTACGACAGCTGTTGGTGGGAACGATTTGGAAACGGCCCTTTCAGGACACCCAAAACTTAAAAAGTTTCGCCCCCGGAGAATAGCGCTGTACGAAGTATGTCACCCCCATTGTAGACAGCTTTCAATTATCTGTAAAACGGACTACAGGGGACGTCATGCTCAAGAAGAATCGATTGTCTGATATTTTATAACTGACAGCGGAAGGAAGGTATATAGTTCTTCCTGACGAACACGCACTGCCATGTTGAATATTTCCGCGGTTTGAGAGGCAGGGATAATTTTTAGTACGCGTTCGAGAAACCGGTTTAGCACTCATCGCAATGCAGAATGGGATCGTCCTAGGGTACGATTCTGTACATTTACTTTGGCTAGGGTACCTTTCTGTCTGTAGTACCTGTGCCGACAACGACCCCTTCAGCTATACTATCCTTTGCCCGGACGTTTACAAGAACGTTATAATTTAGCAAACTTGATTTCCTTCATTTTACTACAATGTAAATGTTGAGTGTCTTTCCAGCGCATGATTACAATCTTACAAAATAACAGAGGTAGTCTGTGACGTTTGCCAGCGTATAGTCTTCCTTGCAATGGCAGTGCTTCGCCTAAGCATTGCGACCAATGAAACATTTCATACAGTGTTTATGCATGTAATCGTTCAGTCATCGCTTGAACGGGCTTTCACAGAGTAACAGAGACGCGGCCAAGTGTCGAACATTTCATACAGTGTTTATGCATGTATTCGTTCACAGTCATCGCTTGAAAGGGCTCTCACAGAGTGACAGAGAGACGCGGCCAAGTGTAGACACTTGTAAGCGCTGCAGGCTGAATCTAGAGAGAGAAACCTACCTGAAAATGGCCGATCTCCTTGGAAAGCACATGTTTTCTATGAAAACAGTATGCATTGTCGCCGGTGCAAGTAGAGGCATAGGAAGAAGTGTCGTTGTCAACTTGGCGTCAAAATTCCCACCCGGATCTCTAGTAGTAGCGCTAGCTAGAGATTTGGAACAGTTGGCCGTAACGAGCGCATTGTTAATGGAAGCAAGTACCGGTGTTGCATGTGTGACCAGCATGTTTGACCAGGGGTCGCTTGACCAACATAAGTACGATACACTGCTCAAAGAATGTCTTCAGGTAGGTTGCCATAAAGTTTTTTGCATCGCTTATATTGACAACAACATGTATTCATGACAAAGCCGTATCAAATAGGTTTATCATGAGGTCGTCACAATATATCCATTTGAACTCGCTCACTCACACAGTTAACATGAGGTAACTGTGATCAGATAAGTGATATCCAACGCAAGAGTCGGATATTTATTAAGAAGTGAAGAAGGTGTTTAAGAAGGTTTTCAAATGATGCAATATTTTGAATGACCTGCCCATAAAAGACAAAGTGCAAACGTATTTTTGTGTACTAGTTTGCATGTTGACTGCAGCAACACACCACACGTAGACTGAATTACAT